CCCCCGCCCCTTATTCTATTCTTCAGTGTTTTCTTTATTACTTTTGCAGTGGAAAAAATATATATAAGGCTTAATTGAATTTTTCTTTCTCAGTTTAATTCCAACACTTCAGATTTTAAGGAAGTAGTAGTAGTAGTAGTAGTTTGCTAAAACTACTTTTTTTTAGAAAAAATCTGATGAACAATCTATTACTAAGTCTTCCATGCTAGAATCCTGCTCTACTCCACCACAATATATTGGCTAATTCTGAATTCTGGGATTCCAATGATTAATTATAAAGCATTTGTCTCACTAGCACGTATAAGTCTTTCTTAAAAATGAAGAAAATTCATTTTTGCAAGTATGGTTTATAAATGGAAGTTTTTTGGGTTTTTTTTTAATCTAGAACTAACATAGAGTTCCAGGCCTTTACTAGTTTGAATAACACTTGGTCACCTCCCTCTAGATTCAGTAATGGGAAAGGCAAACAAACAATGCTGTGTAATATGCACCATAATAAAGATAAACACATTATTGTCAAGGAGACAGAAGAGAGGGTAATTAACTCTGCCTAGAGAAAGATAAGCAGAGAAGGGGAGAGTAAAAGAATGAGTACAAGTTCCCTAAAAGAAGTGAGGGGAAAGGCAATTAGCTTGGGAGACACAGTGGAAAGATGGCATTGATGTTTAGACATAAGAATATTTACAACCAGAGACTTCAGAAAGGTAAGTTGAGATCCGTTCGAGAAGTTCAGAATTTGTCCTTCATCTTTGAGGAAATAGGAGTCCATAACAGGTATTCTTTTTTTGTTTGTTTGTTTTTAGTTTGTTTGTTGGTTTGTTGGCCATGCCATGCAGCTTGTGGGATCTTGGTTCCCGGACTAGGGATCGAACCTGGGCCCTTGGCAGAGAAAACACAGAGTCCTAACCACTGGACCACCAGGGAATTTCCATAATACGTATTAAGAAGAGGAATAATGTGATCCAATTTATGTTAGCAAAGTAATTGGCAGCCGTGTGGATTGCTTGGGAGAGAGGTTCAATGACAGTGAAAGTGGATGTTGAGATTCTGAGGGATGCCTTATGTAGACAGTTTTGCCTCTAGCACAAGAGGATGAGGGTCTGAACTTGGGAGGTTTGTGAGGATGAAAAAGAGGAAATAGAATCTTTCAAAAGATTTGAGAAGTAAGAGAAAAGGAGAAGTGAAAATGTTTTCAGGGTTTCTAATTGGTACCATTAAGATAAATGCGGATTGTAAAAAAAGTAGAACTGAGAGATGAAGATAATTAGGCAGGTTAGGAAGATGCTGACTTTTAAGTGTCTACAGGCACTCTAGGACTCAGTAACTGGAAATATATGAACTATAAATATAGCAAATGAGATATCCAATAAATACTTGTTAAAGAAATGAACATAGGTAACATGCTAAAATAGGCCTTTCATTTCCAACTATTTCTTTGGAAAATATAGTTTCTTTCAAGCCAAGGATTTTACTACAGTTTAAAATTAAATTAATCTAGAGCACCATAACATACTAAAATATTTTTCCATTAAAAAGTTTTATTCACAGGAATTCCCTGGTGGCACAGTGGTTAAGAATCCTTGTGCCAAGGCAGGGGACATGGGTTTCCCTGGTCCAGGAAGATCCCACATGCCGCAGAGCAACTAAGCCCGTGTGCCACAACTACTGAGCCTGCTCTGTAGAGCCTGCGAGCCACAACTACTGAGCCCATGTGCCACAAGTACTGAAGCATCTGTGCCTAGAGCCCGTGCTCCACAACAAGAGAAGCCACCTCAATGAGAAGCCCGCACACTGCAAGGAAGAGTAGCCCCCGCTCACCACAACTGGAGAAAGCCCACGTGCAGCAACAAAGACCCAACACAGCCAAATTAAGTAATTAATTAACTAATTAATTAAAAAATGTATTCACTATTTTTTAAAAGCTACAGCAATATAAAATCACTATTTTTAAAACCTATACATAGAAAAATACAAATGTGAATCTTCTGTTGTAAACTGTGATATTTCATACTATTCACACTATCTTGCATATTTAAGTACATATTCACAATGTGTTCACCAATATAACAGACCTCAGTAAAAACAGGCAAAGTAAATAAAACTATCTTATCATCTGCTTTGTATGCCTAGTAAGCCATACAAATTTAACTGCTGATATAAGCTATAAAATTTCAGTACAGTCAATAGAGGTTTCATGTCCAATGTACCCAAACTAAGAGTCAAGAAACCACAGGTGGATTCCTACCTTTATTCT